GCCAAGAGGGCGGCAGCCAAAGGAATCTTTTACTGTGGAGTGTGGGGTAAAACCTTTGGCCCAAAAGCTGGCGGGGAAACCCCCATCCCTGGAGCAGAAGGGCGAAGCTGTGGGACACTGGGCGAGGCTTTGTCCAGGGCAGACCAGGCTTGGAGGCTGAGTGGCTGCATCAGGAGCCAAGAGCCTGGGGGAGATTCCAGCAGGCCTCTGCAGAGCTGGGGCTGGTGGGTGTGGGGGCGCAGGCGAAAGGCGAGGGGCCGCTGGTGCAGGAGGGAAAGGGGGGCCAAGCTGGCCTCGGACCAGGCCGGCTCTGCTGGGCGTTTTTTCCCCTGAGCGGGACCTGCAGGACCAAGGCAGCAGAGGCCAGGGCGACCACCCCAAGGCGGCTTGACGTCACACCTGCCTAATTTTGGATGGAAAAAAACGTTCCTAAGGGACGTCAAGGAACATGCGGCGGAAGTGGCGTGTGGCTTTCGCATGGCACAGGCCTGTTTTCTAAACTAGAATTTAGCCGCCTGGGCCTTTGGGCCGGGGGGCCTGAGCAGGGCTGGGCTGGGGCGGGCAGTCTGTGGGGCCCTGGCAGGCTCTGCTGGATGCCAGAGCCATGCTCCAGGAGCTTCTTGGCCGCAGTCCCCCAAGCCAGCCGGCCACCACACGCCCTGGTGGCAGGCCGGGCGAGGCTTCCGGGAGCCATCCAAGGCTCCTCCAGGGCAGTCTTTGCAGGCTCACAGGCACACCACCCACGGCTCACTCCACACATAATCAGGGGGACCCCATACTCCCACCGCCCCTGGGTGCTAGAGGAGCTGCTTTCAGGCCCTGGGGCCTGCTGGCCTCAAGCAGGGGCTGCATCCTAGAAAGCCCCCATCGCCCGCTCAGCAGGGGCTCTCCTGGGCTTGTCCAGGTGGGCAGGGACCCTGACCCAGAACCGCACCCTCCCCAAGTGGTTTCTGCAGGGAAAGGGGTGGTGTCTCGATCACCTCATCCAGCCCCCCAGGGCTATGCCCCAGTCCAGGAGCCCATCGTAGACCAGCTTGCGGGGGCTGGGGAGGGGCCTGCCTGAGGGAATTATGCTGTGTCAGGAGGGGCCTGGGGTGGAGGCAACAGAGGGGCTGAGGGAGACTTCCGCTGTCCTTATTGTTCAGTGGCTGCCCCAGGAACCCGGGAATCCCTGCTATGTGGATGTGGGGTGGACGAACCCTCGGCCTGAAATGCCAGTTTCCAGGTGACGGTCAGAGGGAGGGGCCTGCCCTGTGTTGCCCCAGGAGGGAGGGGAACAGTGGGAGCAATCCTACCCTTCTCCTCTGCCACAGTGGCCGACCCATGCACCTCGTCCCTGAAAGGTCAGCACTGGCCCTTCCCCAGGGTGGATGCTGCGTTTCCTCAAGGACTTTTCTCTTTCAAAGAATACGAATCCCCCTGGGAGCATCCAGCCTGGGGTGGTGAGACGGAGCAGGGCGTATGCGGAACTCCCAGAAGGGGTGGGTGTGGTGGGGGGACAATGGAAGGAGGGGCAGAGGGGCTGGTGGGGGAAAGCCCGTCTCAAGTCCCTAGCTGCTCTGTAGCTTCTTCCCCAGTTTGCGGAAGAGGACTCCAATGCCTATATGAAGGCACTCCCCCACTTCCCCAGCGGCTGGGAACTGGGGGTGGGAGAGACCAGAGCCATGGAGGGGAGTTCTCAAGTCTGGCTGAAGACAGTTTCTCCTGCTCGCCAGCCCCAGCCCTTTGATTGAGTGTGGGGTGGGAAAGAGGCACCCCTCCCTCTGGAGGACAGGGCAATGCCCCCAGGACAGCCATCCCAGCCACAAGGGGTGCCAGCTATTTGCACACGTCCTAGCTGTGGCCTGGAGGGGTCCTCTCCCTACTCGGGGAACACTCGTTACGCAAAACCCAGCCCCTGGGGAAACTCGCGGCTGAGGGGGAGGCCTTGCGGCATCTTGCTCATTTCTGAGGTGCCAGGGGTTGGATCCCTGCCTTTAGGGCGGGACACCAAACGTTCCCCTGGCTCCAGCCCCTGGGTCCCTCCCACCTCTGTTGGCCCTGGCTGGAGCTGAAACACTGAAACCCAAGTGAAACTGGGAGCCAGCCCTCCTGTGCAGAGCGATCCCCCTCCACCCCTTTCCGCCACCTCCACTCCTCTCCTCTGCCGCCTCCACCTCCTCCGCCTCTCCCTCCACCTCCTCCGCTCTCCGACCATTCCTCATCCTGCACCTTCCGCCGCCCACGCCCTCCCGTAAATGCCCATCCTCCGCCGCTCCCCTCCACTCCACCTCTCCTCCTCACGGCCCCTCCACCCTTCCTCCGCCTCTGCCTCTCCTCCGCCGCCCTCGCCCCCTCTCTCCTCTGCCTCTCACTCCGCCCCTCCCCCCCTCTGTCCCACTCCGCTGGCTCTTGGTGGGGTCTTGTGCACCCCACAGATCCTGTGGTGGTGTCCCCATGGCCTGGCTGTTGTCGGCCAGCTGGGACTTTGTGGCTGATTTGCACGTTGCCCTGCGTGCCTTTCTGTTCACCTCACTTCAGAGTGAGGGGGAAGCCAGACACCTGCTCTTCCAGACTAAGCAACAGGCACCGAAGCCAGCCCGACCCATCCTGGGGGAGTGCCTGCTGGGGTCCCGGCCACCTGGGCCCCGGGCAGGCATCACTGGCAGGGCTCACAGCTGGCCCTGGGGTCCTGGAAGCTTGCAGTGCAGGGAGCCGATGGGTTTGTAAAACGCAAGTCAGTGTCTCCTAGCGGCTGCCCAGTGATCCCCTCCCTGCTCGCATGGGGCAGGAGCCAACCTGGGGCTCCCAAAAGGGCTGAACCTCCCGAGCTGAATCGTGGAGCCCTGCGGTTCAGGCTATCGGGGCCTTACCCCAGTTGGGACATCTTCACCCCAAGCACGATGGCAAAAGGCAAGCCCTGGCCAGCTCTCCCCGACCTTCCTGCCAGGAGCCGCTGGAGATGGGATAGGCATGTGCCAGGGCAGAACAGCATTCTAGACACACCACAACCACACCTCTGTCCCAGGGCTGACTCCTCTGAGCCTGGCTGCAGGTGTGTGGCACTGCCCACACTCAGGAGCCCCTGCCTCTTCCACAAGAGGAGTCCCCTGAGAGCCCAGTCTGGGACACACAGGGCCGAGCCCCTCGAGTCGCAGTGGGACCTGGAGGAGGCCGAGGGAGGCTTTGGCCAGGCCCCATCTCCCAACACCATGGGATGCACAGAGCAGGTGGGGCTAGGTGGCTCGCGGCACTGCCAACTGCAGGGGCTAAGATGTCGGGTTGAGGCCCGAGTCCTGAAGGCTGAGTGGCTCCAGGGTGGGTGGCCTTACAGGTGGCATTGGAAGGGACAGGTGGGCCTGGGCAGCCTAGAGAAGGGGAGAGGAGACAGCAGGGGTGGTAGACAGTCTGGGAGCCCAAGTGCAGGGAACCAAGGGCTTGAGAGCCAGCCCCTCCCTGCAGACCTGTAGGCCGGGCTGGGGGGCCCCAGGCCAGACTGCGGCCACGGTGGTGGGTGAGATGAGTGGCAACTTGAAGGCGCATGCAGGGCGGGCATCACCAGAGGGGCCCAGTCAGGAGGGACTGATGGAGGAGGTGCTGGAGCCAGCTGGACTCAGTGATGCCCCCTGAGCCGTGCTCCCACTGGGTGGGGGCAGAGACCAGCTCTGCCACTTTCTTGGCCTGGGGCTAGGGCTCTCCTGCTGCTTTCAGGTCCCTGGGGCCTTGGTCTGCAGCCTGGCTTCCCCAGGGTGACAGCAGGGCCGCAGGGGTGGGCTCCCTGCTGCTGCGCCGCCTCCAGAGCAAGCTTGTTCTGAAGGCTCCTGCCTTGGGAGCCGAGCCGTGGTGTGTCCTCACAGGGTGCTGTGCATGGGCCTCGAGGTAGACAGTGTGGGTGGGCCCAGGACGGGAGTCCTGGGGGTGTGACTTTCCTCCTCACAGGGACCTCAGCTTCAAGCCGGGATCGGCGGCAGCTCTATCCACAGGCAGCAGGAGACAGGGCTGTCTCAGCTGCGCTCTGCCGGGCTCCTGGCTTCCAGGCTGCCGGGGTCCTGAAAGCGGGACCTGCTCGGGAGGACGGGTGCCTGCTGACAGAGCCTGGTGCCCCACAGGGGGAGGGTGGGCATCATCCGGTACGGACAGCCCCTTCCCCGGGCTCTGTCCTGGGTGTTACCTGTTGGCTGGGTCTCCTTTTCCCTCTAATGTCTACCTTCCCCTGCAGCTGTCCCTGGGTCTGACCAGCACTCCCAGCACCCACGGAGCAGCCACGTCTCCCCCAGGCCCATCGGCCCCTGTCTTCTGGGGAGGGTGATTCCTGTGTGCCTTCTCCCTGCCCCCCCTTCCCCACCAGCCCCCGAGTCCCTGTGGCGCGGTTGGGAGTGTGTGTGACCTGCGCAGGTTCCAGGGGCGGACTCGTCTCTCTCCTGCAGTTTTTTCCGTGCAGCGCGGTTTGTGCAGAGTTGGGTTCCGGTGACTTCCCCTGCAGGTTCTTTCTCTGGGGTGTCGCTGCTGTCTCCCCCTCTGCAGCCTGCTGCTGACTGGGTCCTGACCGTACCTGCCACGGCAGGAAACACATTCGTCGTACCTTGACTGGTCCCTATGTGACTGGATCCCGCCACATGGGCCACACCCTGGGCCTACCCACCAAGGCCCAGCCTTGGCCCCAGGGACATTCAGCCTGGAGGTGACTGGCTGTGACTCAGGACCCAGAGGAGTAGAGAGAGCCGGGCAGGGGTCCTTCCACCTTGGGGAAGAGCTGAGTGGGCTCTTCAGGAGCTCACAAGGGCTAAGTCTTGAGGGACGGGGATGCAGAGCCGCCTGCCCGCCCCGGCCTCTGCATGCCTGGGATCCGTGTGAAGGGCCTTTGCCTCCTAGAGGCCTGCCTGAGCCGGTGCTGCTGGTGGAAGGCGGCTGCGGCGGCCCCATGGTGGTCCAGAGCAGGTCTGCATACTTGCAGCGGCCCGGCTGGCTCAAAGGGGCCTGGGCTCCATCTCTTAAGCCCCTCATTTGTGCTCCACCCACAGGAGATGCTGCCCAAGGACCCTAGATGCCTCTCTAGAGCATGAGCTCGGGCAAGAGTGCCCGCTACAACCGCTTCTCTGGAGGGCCCAGCAACCTTCCCACCCCAGACGTCACCACCGGGGTAAGGGTGTGCCCCAAGGGTAAGGGTCTGCCCCTCTGCATGCCCAACATCCCCAGAACCCCCTAGCATGCCCCAAGGACCTGGTGCTTCCTGCAGAGCTCCCAGCGCAGTCCCCTCCCAAGCTTGGGTCTCGGGGGAGCTCATGTGTGTGTGTTAGGCATGTGAGTGTTCCACGGCGCAGCCTGGTTGCATGGTTAGGCGTGTGAGTGCTGTGTGGCCTGGCCTGCTCGCGTGTTAGGCGTGTGAGTGCTGCGTGGCCTGGCCTGGTTGCGTGTTAGGCGTGTGAGTGCTGCGTGGCCTGGCCCAGTCGCGTGTTAGGTATGTGAGTGGGCTCCACATGTGCATGTCCTCCTTGTGTCCGGGAATGAGGCCAGGTCTCCTCCATCCTCCCTCTAGACCAGAATGGAAACGACCTTCGGACCCGCCTTTTCGGCCGTCACCACCATCACAAAAGGTGAGCCCTTAAGCCGAGGCCAGCCCAGGCTGGGAATAACTGGGGCACCCCCACACCCACCCTCCTTAGGACTGAAGGGCACTTCCTGGTGAGCCGGTGTTGCGTGCCAGTGCTGGGTGTGGGCAGCCTCACATCCCAGCCTCTGTCCTCACAGCCTCTCAGCCTTGGGCCTCCCTGCTGGACAGGAGTCGGGTGTCCTGCTCCTTGAGCCTTGGTGACTGTGCTGTGCCCTCTCTCTCTACCCTCTTCATCCCCTCTTGGGAGGCTGCCCTGACATCTCCAGCCCCACCACACAGCCCTGTCCCTTGTCACAGTGACCCCTAGCTTGTCCCCAGTTTCAGGCTTCTGGCCAGTCTCTGAAAGGTCCTGTGTGCCCGGAGGTCCTCTCTGGAGTTTGGGCCTAGGGCTTCAGTACCAGTGCTGCGGTTGTAAAATATTAATAGGAAAAGAGAGAGAAAGTGGAAGAGGTCCATAAGTCTGGTTTGTTTTTTTGAGACGAGTGTCACTCTGTCACCCAGGTTGGAGTACAGTGGCGCGATCTCGGCTCACTGCAACCTGCACCTCCTGGGATAAGTCCTCCTACCTCAGCCTCCCAGGAAGTTGGGACCACAGGCACCACCACACCTGGCTAATTTTTTTTTTTTTTTTTTTTTGAGACGGAGTCTCTGCTGCCCAGGCTGGAGTGCAGTGGCCGGATCTCAGCTCACTGCAAGCTCCGCCTCCCGGGTTCACGCCATTCTCCTGCCTCAGCCTCCCGAGTAGCTGGGACTACAGGCGCCCGCCACCTCGCCCGGCTAGTTTTTATATTTTTTAGTAGAGACGGGGTTTCACTGTGTTAGCCAGGATGGTCTCGATCTCCTGACGTCGTGATCCGCCCGTCTCGGCCTCCCAAAGTGCTGGGATTACAGGCTTGAGCCACCGCGCCCGGCCGCTAATATTTTTTTTATGTTTGGTAGAGATGAGGTGGCACCATGTTGCCCAGGATGGTCTCAAATTCCTGGGCTCAAGTGATCCTCCTGCCTCGGCCTCCCAAAGTGCTGGAATTACACGCATGAGCCACCATGCCAAACCCAATAAATCTTCACCTGCACATGACCACTGGGCGGGGTACACGACGGAAACCTGAAGCTTCCGTGCTGCTTCTCAGTCCTAAACCCTAAGGACCAGAGTGCTGCGGGTTGAACACAAGCACCATGCTCAGGGAGACCGTGAGGAAGTGGCAGCACCTTCTTCCCGAGGTGCAGGGCCAGGGACCCTCGTTCGGGGCGGGGGCTCCGGGGAGACTTTGTTCTCTGTCCTTTCTGGCACTCTGCCCTTTGTAGAAGCACACCAGCTGCTAATTAGTTTTTTTAATTGCTCTGATAAACCTGGCCATGGGGTCACAGGGCCGCCAAGGACACCTGTTCACAGTAGCGCCTCTTTGCTGCCAGTGACCCCCTCAGGGGCTCTCCAGGGGCCCTCTTTTTTTTTTTTTTCTTGGATGGTTCTTTTGGAGGAAAAAATAAATAAATATCATCCCTAATCCCACCCCTACAAAAAATGGTGCCTTTTCATCTACCCTTAGAAGCCCCATGGCCCCGTCACACGGCAGAAGGTGCCCAGGATGGGGCAGGGCACGGCTGCCGTGCCTGGCCCCTCAGCAGCAGGGATGGGCAGAGCCAGGCAGGGCGCCCCCAGGTGCCTCACCTGGCCCCTCATGACAGATGGGGAAACTGAGGCCCAGTCACACGGCAGCCTCTTGAGGTCTCGATTTTGAGCCCAGCACTGTTTGTGACATCCGAGCCTGGCTGGTCCTGAGTCCAGGAGGTGGCTCTCTCTGGCTCCCACGTGGACTGACCAGCCCTTCCCAGGGCAGCCCTGCCCTCTGGCCCTGGCCAAGCTGGAGTGACGTGCGGGCAGGAGGAGGGAGGGCACTTCAGCTCCTGCCTCAGAGGAGGCCACCAAGGCTGGGGCCACTTCCTGGTCCTGGCTGTGCCAGGGACACCAGGATGCGGTCCTGGCCCTTCTGCATCCCAGCCCCACACCTCGGCCTCAGCGGAACCTCTGTGAGTGGAGGCTGTCAGGGAACTCACCTGGCAGAGGCGCCTCAAGAGGCAAATAAAACGGCATCCCTAGCTACTACCAGGCGGCCTTCAGAGTGACGGCTCCGTGTTGGCCATGGGCCTCAGCTGGCTCAGGCTGGGGTGCTGGGGAGCTTGTAGAGGCCTTGAAAGAAGACCTTGCCTGGGGTAGGCAGGGCTGGGGCTGGGGCTGCTGGACTCAGTGCTCGGACTGTCCAGATGTAGACCGAGCCCAGCGTCCATGCTCCTGGCACTGCTTTGACCTTGAGAGGGAACCCAAACTTCCCTGGCGCCATCCCTGCATGCTTTCTGCCTGCCTGGCCCTGGGGAGGGCTGTGAGCACGGGCCCCACCTCCCTTGCGTCTGCTGAGGGAGCCCCCACTCATGCACCAGCCATCTTGCCTTGCAGCTGATGGGACCAGCACCTACAAGCAGCACTGCAGGACACCCTCCTCCTCCAGCACTCTTGCCTACTCCCCGCGGGACGAGGAGGACAGCATGGTAGGTCCCCACCCCGCAGGAGCCCGTGTGAGCCTCAGCTTCCCCCCACCCTCCCTCCTGGGGGACCCGGTCCCAGGAGGAGCTGACAGTGAGCTGGTGAGGCACAGGAGAGGAACAGCACCTGTGGATACCCTGAGGCCTCAGCATGCATGGCAAGTCTGTGAGAAAGTAGGCTCCTGTGGCTGGACTGTAGGTGGCAGGGGGCAGCCAGTGAGGGCAGCTGGGCCCGATGGCATGGCACCTGCAGGCCAGAATGAGGCATATTTGGCTCTATCTTAAGGGAGGTGGAAGCCGCAGAAGGTGTGATCAGGATAACACAATAAAATATATGCTTTGAAAGGTTGCTTTGCTGCTGAGTAGGGAATGAGTGGGGTTGCTGGGTCCAGGCAGGGTTTGAGGAGGGGTCCTGATGAGAGGAGGGAGAGGAAAGGTGTGTGGACCTAAGCTGTGGGGACACCAGAGGGAATGGGGTGGGGGCTGCGGAACCTGTGCCAAGTGCTGGGGGAGCCAGATAATTCCCTGTTGCTGGCTGTGTTGGGGGCAGAAACGTTCAGGTCAGTCGGGGGCTGGCTGCTGGTACCTGAGCCCTGTGGCCAAGGTCTCAGTGGTCATTCCCTGCCATCCTGGTCAATGGCACTCATTGCTGAGCTCTGGGCCTACCCAGGGGACAGAGGCCAACTCTGCCCTGGGCATGAAGGACCAGCCTAGCAGGGGGTGGGGGCGTGTAGGGCCTCCCTGGCAGCTGCTTCTCTCCAGTGCCTTGGACACCAGGTGTGGTGGCCCTGCTGGCCCTCTTGGGACCGAGGCCTTTTCCTTTTTCCTTTCTTTTTATTTTTTTTGAGATGGACTTTCACTCTTATTGTCCAGGCGGGAGTGCAGTGGTGTGATCTCAGCTCACCGCAACCTCCGCCTCCCAGGCTTAAGTGACTCTCTGGCCTCAGCCTCCCGAGTAGCTGGGGTTACAGGCGTGCGCCACCACTGCCGGCTAATTTTGAATTTTTAGTAGAGACAGGGTTTCTCCATGTTGGTCAGGCTGGTCTCAAACTCCCGACCTCAGGTGATCCGCTCCCCTCGGCCTCCCAAAGTGCTGGGATTACAGGCATGAGCCACTGCACCCAGCCTTCTTTTTTCATTTCTAACAATAAGAAGAAAAGATTTTTTTTGTTTCGTTTGTTTGTTTGTATGTTTGTTTGCTGAGATGAAATCTCGTTTTGTCACTCATGCTGGAGTGCAGTGGTACAATCTCAGCTCAACTGTAACCTCTCCCTCCTGGGTTCAAGCCATTCTCCTGCCTCAGTCTCCCGAGTAGCTGGGATTACACATCCGTGCTACCATGCCCAGCTAATTTTTGTATTTTTAGTAGAGATGGGTTTTCACCACATTGGCCAGGCTGGTCTCAAACTCCTGGCCTCAAGTGATCCGCCCACTTTGGACTCCCAAAGTGCTGGGATTACAGGTGTGAGCCACCTTGCTCGGCCAGAAAATAAGTTTTTAATTAATTGAACAAACACAACCGTGTGCCGGGTGCTAGGCCGAGGGTGAGTTGGGTATGTCTGGGCCCTGTCCCTTGGGCCTCTGCCTGCTTTAGTCTCCACAACCCGAAGGCCACGCATCCACCATGCTTGTGGTTCCCATAATCACCTGCTATCCCCATGGGTCACTATGGCTTTAAAGAGGGGCGGACATCTTCTCTCTTTGCCCTTAGGCCCACACAGGGAGTCCCCTTCCTGCCCTTTCCCCTGCCCCCCAGGCCTGGCCGCCATTAGCCCCCATGCCCAGGAGGGTGGGAGACTCTGGGGTAGCAGTGGGCAGGCCGGGGAAAGTGGGTCCCGTGCCAGCTACTGCTCTGCTCTCACCTCTGGGGCTCTCCCTGCTGCCATGGGCCTTATGACTCACTTTCTCTGACTCCTTTCTGCTCTCTACGTGCTGTTTCCATGCAGATGGGCCCTTGGGACCTGAAGGGAGGTGGGCACACGGGACACAATGCCCCCTCTGCCGGCCTTGGGACTGGCTCTGCCCCTGTGCTCTGTGGGTTTCATACCCAGGGCTGCCGGGAAAGGGGCCAGAGGCTCAGCAGAGCAGCAGCAGGGCCCCAGGTGGCCGTCCGCTGCAGCTGGGCCCCTCTGCAGTCAGAGCGCCGCAAGAGGAACCTTGGGCAGCGTGGCTCTCGGAAACTTCTGGAGGTTTCCAGGCCAGAGGGGAGGAAGGGACAGTGTCTGCCCCTCCCCCAGACTCCCCTGTCGGTAGCTCAGGCAGAGGCAGGCACCTGTGTCCCTCACTCCTGCCCTCGGGAAGCTCAGCTGAGGTTCTGTGGGGGCCTGGCCCTGCCTTCCCTCTGAGCCTCCCGGCCGGGCCTGGTGTACCCCAGCAGCAAGGCCAGACAAGCAGCCAGGCCCGGGGGGCACCTGGAACCCAGCCGCCGCTCCCTGCCAGCCTTCCTGGCCCTTCCATCCTGCGGTCACGGCCTCGGCTGCCCGGGATTGGCTGGTGGAGGTGCCCCCTCACGGCCCACATTCCCTCACGGGAAGCAGGAAGCCGCTCGGGTATGTGGAATTGAATAGCAGGAAGTCTCTCCATTTACACAAAGAGAGGTGGCAGGCGTGAGCGGGCAGCCCAGCACCCCGGCCCAGGCAGGCAGGCAGGGACCTGGGCTGCATCAGCTCCCCACACCCACCCACGGCCCCTGTGGACGAGCAGAGTGCCCGCAGTGACCGGGGTGGCCCCAGGGGTGCTGCTACCCTCCCGGGCTGGTTCCTGTCCTCCCCAAGGCTCTGACCCCGTGCGGAGCCCCCTGACAGGCGCCTCTCCCTCCGCGCAGCCCCCCATCAGCACTCCCCGCCGCTCCGACTCTGCCATCTCCGTCCGCTCCCTGCACTCAGAGTCCAGCATGTCCCTGCGCTCCACATTCTCACTGCCCGAGGAGGAGGAGGAGCCGGTAGGTGTGGGGGACTCAGCGCAGAGCGGCTTCCAGGGCTGTCACTGCAGCGGTAGCACGGAGGCACCGTCCCCTCCGCCATGCCAGCCCAGCTCACGGGGAGGGCAGCTGGAGCCTGACAGGAACCGCAGTGCTTGGTCCGTGGTGGGGACTCAAGGGGCCAGGCTGAGTCCCCTGGGTATGTGCCCCACTCCCCTTTCTCAGGGCTGCCCAGGAACTGGCAGTGGGAAGCACGGGGCTCCGGCGGGGCCCTTTCCAGTCTCACCCCAGGAAGGAGGCAGGCGAGGGCGGCCAATACTGGGTAGCTGGACTCATCCTCCTGGGCTGGGCCATGCTTCTGGGTCCACAGACCTCGCTTTCCCTCTTGGGCCCCGATCAAGCCCCCCAGCTCTAAGCAGGCCTCTCTCAGGACGTGCCCCCGTCCTCAGAGGACAGCCAGGCCTGGAGCGAGAGCGCCTGGGTGCCTGGGTGGTGGTGGGGCTGAGGGTGGCCTCCCGCCATTGCCTGCCTTTCACACTTGGTTCCAGGAGCCACTGGTGTTTGCGGAGCAGCCCTCGGTGAAGCTGTGCTGTCAGCTCTGCTGCAGTGTCTTCAAAGACCCCGTGATCACCACGTGTGGGGTGAGTCAGCCCCCCTTCCCAGCCCCCATGCTGCTGGAGGCCCCCACAGGACCGCAGGCCTCTCAGGGGCCAGGGCTGCTGGTCCCTGGCCTCGGTTGAGGCCTGGTCTGGCTGCGCTGGGATTGGGGTGCAGTGAGGCCTGTGGCTGCCATGGCCGTGGACTTGGGGAAAAGAGGACCCTGTGGCTGCCCTCAAGTCCGCCCTTTGCCTCCACAGCACACGTTCTGTAGAAGATGTGCCTTGAAGTCAGGTAGGCTCGTGCCCCTCCCGAGGCCTGGCACTGACCGTGCCCCTGGCTGCCGAGCAGAGACGGGCAGCTTCTCCCTTGTCCCCCGCACAGTGACCGGGCCTGTTTGGCCTCTGCTGGGGGTGGGACAGGGCTGCAGCAGTCCTTGGGATGCTCAAGCTGAGGCTCAGGCCCTCCATGAACAGAGTGGGGACACCCCAAATTCTAGTGTGTCCAGACTCAGAGACCCCACAGCAGGTGTGGGCCAAGGCACCCCAGGTCAGGGTGGGCACCCTCTGGGGAGGCCTTTCTCACTGGTGAGGCTGTCGTCCTCCCACATGGCGCCCGCTCCTGCCTGCCTGTCCACACTCTGCCCTCTGCCCTCTTGGCCCCACCCCACACTTTTCCGGGCACAGCTGAGAGTATCACAGGTGACACTTCCTCACCACCTGCTGCTCCTTCTTGGTGGCCCACCTGTGCCCCCGTTCCCATGTTGCATGCCTCAAGAGGGGCAGATGGACAGGAGATCTGACCCCCGTTAAGAGGCTCATGCCCACCCCGGTGAGGGAGCATGTTCCAGGCAGGCCGTGGGGGTCAGCACGCCCTCCTCCCCCAGAAAAGTGTCCTGTGGACAATGTCAAACTGACCGTGGTCGTGAACAACATCGCGGTGGCCGAGCAGATCGGGGAGCTCTTCATCCACTGCCGGCACGGCTGCCGGGCGGCGGGCGGCGGGAAGCCCCCCATCTTTGAGGTGGACCCCCGAGGGTGCCCCTTCACCATCAAGCTCAGCGCCCGGAAGTAAGTGCCCCTCCCTGGGCACCTTTGCCTCCCTGGGGGCTGCCTCTCAGGGCTTTGGCTCAGGCTTCCCCACATCCCACCCTGGCACAGGGACCACGAGGGCAGCTGTGACTACAGGCCTGTGCGGTGCCCCAACAACCCCAGCTGCCCCCCACTGCTCAAGATGAACCTGGAGGCCCACCTCAAGGAGTGTGAGCACATCAAATGTCCCCACTCCAAGTACGGGTGAGTGGGGGGCGGGCGGGGGCGGACGCAGTCCCTCCACAGGCTCCGCTAAGAACCGCCTGGTTGCTGGTCCCGGGGAGGTGGGTCGGAGCTGGGACCACACCAGGGTCTGTAATCCTCTCTGAGGCCCAGGAGCCCAGGAGAGGCCCAAGGCCCTGGAAACACAGAGGAGGAGCCGAGGGCGGCCAGGAAGGTGGGCATGGATGCTCCCGCAGCCCACCAGGCATGGGCGGAATTGAACAAATGCTGGGGTTGAGAGCTCTGGAGAGGGAGGTGGGGGTGGGAGGAGAGGCAGGAGCCCAGTTCTTCAGGGCAGGGAGGCTGCCGAGGGGCATGGGTTTTATCCTCAGGGAGTGAGGAACCCTTAAACAGCTCTGCAGGGGTGACGTGATGGGACCTCACTTGTGAAGCTGCCCAGGGGTAGCTGGGTGGGGAGGAGGGGCAGCTGGACCTGGGGTGCAGTGGCCACAGGGCTGGAGCACTCGAAGGGGATTCTTGGGGATAGGGAGGCACCAGCAGGGACCCACCAGGCAGGCAGGTGGGCAGCTGTCCTGTCCCCGCAGGTGCACGTTCATCGGGAACCAGGACACTTATGAGACCCACCTGGAGACTTGCCGCTTCGAGGGCCTGAAGGAGTTTCTGCAGCAGACGGACGACCGCTTCCACGAGATGCACGTGGCGCTGGCCCAGAAGGACCAGGAGATCGCCTTCCTGCGCTCCATGCTGGGCAAGCTCTCGGAGAAGATTGACCAGCTAGAGAAGAGCCTGGAGCTCAAGTTTGGTGAGGGTGGGCACTGGGGCAGGTGGGGGCCTGGCCACTGCTCCGGGCACCAGTGACACCCCCTCTCCTCCTGCTCCTCAGACGTCCTGGATGAAAACCAGAGCAAGCTTAGCGAGGACCTCATGGAGTTCCGGCGGGACGCATCCATGTTAAATGTGAGTGGGCGGGGCTGCAGGGGCTGGGTTGTGAGACCCAGGGAAGCTGGCGGCCCTGGCAGGGAGGCCTCCCCTGGCCTTGGCTCCACTAGTCAAGATCAGGGGTCTGTGTGTGGCAGGGACTCCTGTCGCCCCTGCTCACCCCTGGCCCAGGGCAGCAGGGGCAGAGAGGCTGCACTGGCCCCACAGCAGCCCTGCCCACCTGCCCTCTGCCCTGCCCTTGGCCCTGCAGGATGAGCTGTCCCACATCAACGCACGGCTGAACATGGGCATCCTAGGCTGTGAGTATGGGCCCGCCGCGGCTCCCACCTGCCCTCCCCGTGGACCCCTACGGGGCCCTCACTCACTGCTCCCGTCTCTGCAGCCTATGACCCTCAGCAGATCTTCAAATGCAAAGGGACCTTTGTGGGCCACCAGGGCCCTGTGTGGTGTCTCTGCGTCTACTCCATGGGTGACCTGCTCTTCAGCGGCTCCTCTGACAAGACCATCAAGGTAGGCGGAGTCCTACCTCAGTCTCCGCAGCCTGGATGGGTTGGGCACTACTGCATGCCTGGCACTGCCAGCCTGCCTATGGGTGGGACCTTCTCCTGGGCAGGGCTTTCTCCCATGGGCGGGGCTTTCTCCCATGGGCAGGGCTTTCTCCCATGGGCAGGGCTCCCTTACTCATTCCTGTCATGCTGCCCCTTGGCACCGGGCTGACCTTGCTGGGACCCACTGTGGCCCTGGTCTCTGCAGGTGTGGGATACATGTACCACCTACAAGTGCCAGAAGACACTGGAGGGCCACGATGGCATCGTGCTGGCTCTCTGCATCCAGGGGTGAGTCCAGGCACGTGTGTGACCAGTGATTCCCAGGTCAGGAGGTGTGGTGCTGCTACTCCGTGGGCCGTGAGCCATGAGCTCGAGCCTGTGTAGCTATGTGTGTGCCCCACCTCTAGGACGCCCTCCACCCGGAGCAGCACTGGCTCCCTGGGTAGCAGTGTGTGGGCCCTTGTGTGGCCTGCACCATCTCTGAAGTTGTGTGTTCCCAACAACTGGTATAGCCAGCCTCCCAGCAGAACCTTGTCCTGGCCCCGGTGCTCCTCGTACAACCAGAAGATGGGGGGACCTTAGGGAGTGAAGGCAGGAGCTCAGCTCTCCTCAGCCTGCAGTCAGAGCCCAGGGCATAGGGACCACGGAGCAACTACCTTGGCCACCTTCTTGCCTCCAGGTGGCCTACCTGCCTCCTGTCTCCTGTCGTGAGGCTTTGTGGGAGCAAGCGTGTAAGCGTGTGCGTGAGAGATGCTCGCTTTCAGGAGGCGGCAGCTTGACTGCCAGCAGCCGGCCCTGGGATTGACTCAGTGCTAACGGGCGGGTAATTACCTCCCGGCTCGCTGTCAAATGCTTTCCAGGCAGGCATCAGGCTGGCTCACCCCTTCCAAGGTTCCTGTGTGGAGACTGGAAAATAGGCTGGAGCTTAGGGACACAGCAGTGGCCTTGGCCCTGGGCCACGCTGCTAGTTCCTGATGGTTGGCATGGACCTCGGGCCCTGCCAGGGCGGTGTCAGCAGGGACACAGCTTCTCCCACCGTGACACACTCTCTGCTTCCCCAGGTGCAAACTCTACAGTGGCTCAGCAGACTGCACCATCATTGTGAGTGGGGCCTACAGGCGGGTGGGCAGGAGGCAGCCCAGGCCTGCCTCAGTATGTAGGTGCCCCAGGGACGTGCTTCTCCCCATCTGGGCTCCGGACTCCAGACTTCAGGTGACAGGGCTTGGTGCCCTGAGGCTTCCGGTCCTTCCCCAATCAGGTGTGGGACATCCAGAACCTGCAGAAGGTAAACACCATCCGGGCCCACGACAACCCGGTGTGCACGCTGGTCTCCTCACACAACATGCTCTTCAGTGGCTCCCTGAAGGCCATCAAGGTACGGGTGGAGGGTGTGCCTGTGTGTGTGAGTCACTGAGGTGTCCCTTGCCTGCCCAGCCCACCATTGTAGCCATCCCTGCAGGTCTGGGACATCGTGGGCACTGAGCTGAAGTTGAAGAAGGAGCTCACAGGCCTCAACCACTGGGTGCGGGCCCTGGTGGCTGCCCAGAGCTACCTGTACAGCGGCTCCTACCAGACAATCAAGGTGCACCTGGGTACACCTGGTGGCCACAGGGCCTTGTCCCCTACCAGCACTTCCCAGACCAGCACCCAGGGCTCCATCTGCCCTGTTCCTACCTTCGCACATGCCCTGGCTGGGTGGGTGGGCTGCCCAGTGGTGCTGAAGGCCTGGGGCTGCAGGGGCCTGGGGGTGAAGCACCTGGCCTGGGACCAAGTGGCCCACGATTACTCATAGATCTGGGACATCCGAACCCTCGACTGCATCCACGTCCTGCAGACGTCTGGCGGCAGCGTCTACTCCATTGCTGTGACAAATCACCACATTGTCTGTGGCACCTACGAGAACCTCATCCACGTAAGGCCTGGGCGTCTGGGTGCAGGGCCAGACTGTGGCCCCATCTCCCCTGCCTTGCTCAGTGTCTTTGACCTGCCTGTGCCCACCTCTCCCAGGTGTGGGACATTGAGTCCAAGGAGCAGGTGCGGACCCTCACAGGCCATGTGGGCACTGTGTATGCCCTGGCGGTCATCTCGACACCAGACCAGACCAAAGTCTTCAGTGCATCCTACGACCGGTCCCTCAGGGTGCGTGCGGGCCCAGCGGTGGCAGGAGGCTCAGAGGGCGGGCAGCTGAGCTCCAGCGGGCCCTCATGTCCCATGTGCCCCCAGGTCTGGAGTATGGACAACATGATCTGCACGCAGACCCTGCTGCGTCACCAGGGCAGCGTCACCGCGCTGGCCGTGTCCCGGGGCCGACTCTTCTCAGGGGCTGTGGATAGCACTGTGAAGGTCAGTGTCCATGGCTCGGGCCATTCAAAGGGGCTACACAGGATGGAGCGGGGGTGGGAATGAGGAGCTGGCAGCCCCAGCATGAGGTGGTGGAGGGTAGGTATATGTGACAGGTGTGGCTGGGCCAGGGTGGCTGGCCGCAGGACACCTTGGTGAAGCAGCCCTTTCTCTGCAGGTTTGGACTTGCTAACAGGATCCAGGCCAGGCCGTGGCTTCCCCTGGACCAGCCCTGGACCTGTCTGAGCCAGGCTGGCCACATGGGGTGGTCTCGGGGTTTCTGCCTGCCCTATGGGCACAGGTGGACAGGCTTTGGCAGCCGGGCAGTGCCCTCCCTGCCCAATGCTCGGCGAGCCTCCCTCTACTCGGCACTATCCTCGCTGCCCAGCCCCTCTCTCTGGGTGCCAGGTACGACGCTTGCCCCGGCCCACCCTCCATCCCCACCCTAGATGGAGCGAGGGCCTTTTTACTCACCTTTTCTACTGTTTTTAGACTGTGTGTAGATTTGGTTACTTCCTGGTGGAAATAAACACTCCACAGACTGTGGCTGTGAGTGGGGACAGCTCCTCGGGACAAGGGGGCTGTGTGGCCTTGAGGTTGGTGTGCATAGGCACTGGCTGCTGTGAGTGGGGGGGCATGGGGCCGTTTTCTCTGGTGGACCCCAGGACTTCAGCCCACTCTGGGGCCTCCCTGCTAGGAGGCAACTTGTCACACCCGAGCTGCTGGCCTTCAGACCCATCTCCCCCAACACATGTGCCCCCAAAAAGTGAGCCAGGCACTTCTGTTTCCTGCTGTTTATTGACAGCCAACGGCAGCGCCTTGCCCAAACCTCCCCTCCCTGCCTGCTGGAGCCCAGCCTGGGCCGCCCACTGAGGAGAGGCCTGGGGGGACAGCTGGGCACGTCCACTTACAGGGAAACACGGGGTGAGACAGCGGGAAGGGGCCCTGCAGGCACGGACGCCACCTCCGCTAGCCGCCTCTGCCCGCCCCACACCACAATCGCTGGTTTTCGGCATTTTTAAAATTTTTTTTTTTAAGAAACGTCAAAGTTGTGCCCAACACTGTGGATCAGCAAACACGATAGAGACCAGTCAGTACTTCTTGGAGGGAGCAGGGACAGAGAGAGGAAAAGGGAGGGTGAGAATGACCACACGACACAGCCTTGGACCATGAGCAGAAGCGTCCGTGGGAACTCCGGCGGGGTGGACAGGCTGCCTGCGCAGGCCCCAGAGGAGGCCAGGCACGCCCTCAGAGGAGCTGCAAGCCCCTGGCCTGGCCTGCTACGTGCCCTGCTTCCACGTGGCCGCCACACTGACACACCCACATTCACCACACCCACCCGCGCCCCGATACAGCCACGCCAGGAGGAGGACATGGCCGCCAAGAGCAAGGCACAACCTCGAGTTCTTGGGGCGCAGAGAACTTAGGAGGGAAGCGCGGAGGAGCCCCCGCCTGAGCACCCGCCCCGGGGCCCCAGCCTTCCACCTGTGCTAGCGGCCTGGGGCCTCCACTCTGGCCGGAGGGAGGAAGGACCGCAGGCAGACAGCCTGGTCCTCTTAACAGCTTTTGTCCGGAGCTAGACTCTTGTCCTTTCAGTTGGTAAATGGTTTTCTATAGAATCAATAATATTTCTTTCTTTAAATATATATTTGTTAAAGTTATACCTTTTTGTTTCTCTGGGGAAATCCGCCTCAGCTCATTCCCAATAAATTAATACTCTTGATAGCTTATATTCTGGGGGTGCGGTGGGGCAGGGGGGCCCTGACCCTGGTCCCCTGTCCCTTGTGCTGCGCCTGAGCGGCTGACCGGGCGTCCCGATGGGCAGTTCTGTGCTGGGCCCGGGCCTGTGCGCTGCCCCATCCCTGGTCCCGGGGCGCCCTCCCCTTCCGCACAGGCAGGAGGCCCAGCAGGTATTGCACGGGGAGCAGCAGGTGGGGAGGACGCGCGGGCGCGGGGTCTGCCCAGAGCCCTTGGAGCCCCCGGCCAGGCGGTCCCCGGTGGGCGCCCCGGCCCGACCCCAGGGGCCGGAGTTGTGCTTGTGCGGGGCCCTGCCCGGCCGCTCGCGCCGCGTCCAGACGCGCCCATCCTGAGGTATAGGTCAGTGTGCGGGGAGGGCCCGGGCGGCGCAGGCGGGCCCGGCGAGGCGGCGCTCACTCCAGCATGGCGTCCAGCTGGTCGGCCAGGTCGTCGAACATGCTGCCGATGTCGTCCAGGATGCTGCCCGTGCTCTTTTCCGCCACCGAGTCGCTGCGGGGCGCGCGGCGCGGGGCGTGAGCGGGCGGGGTGGGCCTGGCCACGCCCACTTCGGTCAGGACACGCCCACAGCCCGCATCTCCGTCGGGCTCCGCCTACCGCACGATGACCTCAACCGAGCCCCGCTGACGCCGCGCCTGTCCCTACTGAGCCCCGCTCACGCCACGCCCATCTCTACCAAGCCCCGCCCATCTGCTGAGCCCCGCCCTCCGCCCGCCAGGCCACGCCCCGCACCTACCGCGGGCCCTGCGCGTCCTCCTGCCGGATTTTCTCCTCCACCGCCTGCAGCGCCGCGGCCAAGCATGCGCTCGTCTCCTCCAGCTTCTGCCGGGCGCTGTCCCCGGGCGAGGCGCCTTCAGTTGGGGCGGGGGGCGCGGCGGCGGCAGCGGCGGCGGCGCGCGGGGGCTTGGCGGGCACGTGCAGCGCGGGCGGGCCGGGGGACGGGGGCTTGACGGGGCTGGTGCCCAGCGAGGGCGGCGTACCGGGCGGCTTGGCGAGGGCGGCGGGCGGCTGGCGCGCGGGCGAGGGTGCGGGCGAAGGGCCAGCGCTGCCCGAAGGCAGCCCCGTGGCCACCTTGGCGGGCTTGGGCGCCGTGGGCGGCGGAGGCGGCTTGGGAGACACGGGCGGCGGTGTGCCGTGGGCGCGCTTCACCTCTGCGGGAAGGACCACGCTGGCACCAAGCAGACACGAACCCCGCCGCCGGGCCCCCTGCCCCGGCCTCCCGCGGCCTACTCGCGCCGCTGCCTCCCCAGCGGACCAGGAAGGACCCTGCTCACCTTGCCCTGGATGCATGAGAGGGTCTGGGGACACGTTCCCACCCCACCTGGGCTTCCATCAAACCCAAGAAAAGGAAAACCCCGCAGACCACCGAGTAGAGAGGTGGAGCAGAGTCCTGCCGCCCCCTCACCCCACCCTGGCTGGCCCCATGCGCCTACCTGGGCTGCCAGGGCCTGGCAGCGGCACCTTCTTGGAGGTGGGTGTGGGCGAGCCCTGGATCTTGGGCATGGGCTGCGTCAGGACTGGCTTGGGAGAGACAGGCGGCTTGGCCGGCTTCCGGGCTTCACCCTCGGGCGGGGGTAGTGGGGGTAGGTGCGCCAGGTCGGTGGGCGGGGGTTCGGCAGGCGGGGGCGGTGGGGGCAGCTCCGGAGGCCCAGCCTGCTCCGAGGCCGGTCGGCGGCGCACAGTGCCAGTGCCATTCTGGTACACGGACAGTGGTGGTGGTGGCTCAGGCCCGGCCTCCCGCTCCTTGGCCTTGGGCCGGCGCTTCACCGTGTCAGACTCGGTCAGGATGAACTTAACGTTCTCCTGCTGGTTCTGCTTGGCCCGGATGCGCCTCTTGAGTGTGGCGCTGGCCTCCACCCTGGCTAAGGGCGGGCCCTCAACACCTGCCTCGCTCTTGGAGGGACCCCGAGGCCGCTGCCGGCCAGTGCCATCCTCCACAAAGTGCCCTGGGTCTGCCGACTCCCCAGGCCCCCGGCGGGCAGTGGCCAGAAGTCCAGTGACTGGCCCGCTGAGCGTGCGGCGCCGGTTCACCACCTCCCCACCAGGCCCGATGGCCTCTTTGTGTTTCACTGAGGCCAGCACGGTGGCCACCCGACCCGGCTCTGGGCTGGCAGGGCGGGGAGTGGGGTGGCCCTCGGGAGGCCTGCGGGCAGCCCGGCCCCCACCCCCAATGGAGGACAGCTCCAGCATGGCCGCAATGCTCTTCACACTGCCGGCACTGCCCGTGTCCACACTGCCGGCCAGGTCACTGGCCCGCCGGCACTGTGCCCGGACCCCCAGCAGGCCATCTTCAGGCTCAGCGTCCGGCACCGGCTCATCCGCCAGGTTGGCACTGGCCAGGGCCGAGCTGGAGCGCTTGGGCGGGGGCGGCGGGGGCCCCTTCTTTCGGGGCCGCACAGCGAAGGACTGGCTGCGGTTGACGTTCTTGTCGGCACCTGCAGGCGCCCTCACCGAGTGGCTGCGGCCCACGCGCCGCTGGACCGTGGCATAGGGGCCCGCAGCAGTAGGCACCAGCAGCTCGTCCCGCTCCGGCTCGCTGTCAGACGCTGCGTAGCGATTCAGGCTGTGGGCTCGCTTCTTGGGCCGCCCCGGCTCTGCGTCAGCCTCGGGGGGCAGGCACAGTGTGGGCACAGCAGTCGGCACGGGTGGGGGCGCAGGCCCCGGGGCAGCTGGCCCCACCTCGCCCTCCACAGGCTGGGGCAGCACATAGGCAAAGCCGCGGTGTGTGGGTGACTGAGGCAGGGAGCGGGGTGACATGGGGCGCTCTGTTGGCGGCAGCAGCTGCGGGGTAGGCTTCACCTTGGCTGTAGCTGGGGCTGGACCATGAGGTCCCCCAAGGGCCTGGGGAGAGCCTGGTCGGGTTTTGGTGGGAGTCTGCGGGGGCGTGAAGTGGCTGGTGCCTGGTGGGAGGACCTGCCGTGGCTTGCCAGGCACAGGGGGCACGCTGGCCCTCTTGACGCTGTGACCGTGGCGGCCTGGCCTGGCCTCCTTGGGCGGGGTGCCAGGAGCCGGGCCTTCATCCAGCAGGTACTCCTGGCTTCGAGACATGGGGCTGCTGGGCCCAGGGGGCCCGTCGCCCAGCAGCTCCTGTGAGCTGCTCATGTGCCGTGCCCGACCACTCAGGCTGGACTCCTGCCGTGTGGTGGCCCTCGGGGTGGGTGGCAGATGGCTGGAGGGCTTCTCAGCGGTGGTCCCCACCTCAGCTGGGCCAGTCATGGCAGCCTGCAGCTCATCACTGAGCTCGCTGTCCTGGAAGGTGGTCATTTTAGGGGACTGGCAGTCGGCCGGTGTGGGCTCAGGCGGGGGCGGAGACTCAATGGCCATCACTTCAAGTGACTGGGGCGCCTTCCGGCGCAGGGGGCCCCCCTCATACTTGGCATATTCAGCCTTCTGCAGCTCTGCCAGCTTCCTCACAGCCAGCATCAGCTTCTTCTGGTGTCCTGAGTGGGGTGCAGGGGGCAGGTCAGGTGGACCAGGAAGTGGAGGGCAGGGGCTGGGCTAGGGCAGGGCCGGGCTGGGGGCTGGGGCTGGGAGCTGAGGGCAGGGGCTGGAAGCTGGGGCTGGGGCTGGGGCCTCACCCAGCTTGGTGATGCCGATCTCCTGCAGGTCCTCCCAGGTGATATCAGTGATGAAATCGATGTTCTCATAGCCATTGTCCACCAACACCTTGTAGTACTGGGCCAGGCCGATCATGGACAGCCACACGGCCAGGTTAGCCTACAGAGCAGAGACACAGAGGGGCCACCTGGGCTGGCTGCCCGCACCCTGCCCATCTACCTGGAGCTGGAGGA